TCGATCTCACTCGATCTCACTCGATCTATCTAACACTCGATCTCACTCGATCATCATCATCATCATCATCATCATCATCATCATCATCATCATCATCATCATCATCATCATCATCATCAGCATCATCATCATCATCGTCCTCATCATCAGCATCATCATCATCAGCATCACCATCATCATCATCATAATCATCATCAGCATCAACATCAGCATCAGCATCATCAGCAGCATCATCATCAGCATCACCACCATCATCATCATCATCATCATCATCATCAACATCATCATCATCATCTCATCATCAACATCATCATCATCATCAGCATCAACATCAGCATCAGCATCATCAGCAGCATCATCGTCAGCATCACCATCATCATCATCATCATCATCATCATCATCATCATCATCATCATCATCATCATCATCATCTCATCATCAACATCATCATCATCATCATCATCACCATCACCATCACCATCACCATCACCATCACCATCACCATCATCATCATCATCATCATCATCATCATCATCATCATCATCATCATCATCATCATCATCATCATCATCATCATCATCATCATCATCATCATCATCATCATCATCATCATCATCGCGGGACACCGCGGGACACCGGCGGGACACCGCGGGGCACCGCGGGACACCGCGGGACACCGCGGGACACCGGCGGGACACCGCGGGCCACCGGCCGCCCGGAAGGGAGACATTTGGTCCGGCCGCGCCTCAGCCACACGGGACACCAGCGGGACACCGGCGGGACACCGCGGGCCACCGGCCGCCCGGAAGGGAGACATTTGGTCCGGCCGCGCCTCAGCCACAGGAGACTTTCTCTCGCCCGCCCACGCAGCTTCGCCTCGCCCGCACGCACGGCACGCACGAACACGAAACCGAAATCGATTTCCCGGTAGGGGGGCTCTCCGTTCCACTTCGATCTCACCCCCTCACCTCCGATATATATATATATATATATATATATATTCCCCAATCAGAGCTTCCCTCTGTAGGGGTCCTAGCGGATTTACATGGTTAGGCCGGGGGTGCCCAGGTGCCCGGGGGCTCTATCGCCCTATGGCCCTGTAGCCCTATAGCCATATAGCCCAATAGCCCAATAGCCCTGTAGCCCTGTAGCCATATAGCCCTATAGCCCTGTAGCCCATATAGCCCTATAGCCGTATAGCCCTATAGCCCTAAGCCCTATAGCACTATAGCCCTATAGCCCTGCAGCCCCATAGCCCTATAGCCTCATAGCCCTACTATAGCCCTATAGCCCTTATGGTCGTCATAGCCCTCGCAGACTTCATATACCTAAGGAGCAATGACAAAGGGATCTCATGTAATAACAAAAAAGACTATGATTGGGGCTTGTCTCCGGTATCATATATTTACATGTGTATATATACATATATATATATATGTGTATACGACCACCCTTCGGGTGATAAGAGGTTGTGGGGAGGGAGAGGGGGGGGACCAACATCTGACTCAATCGATCTCACTATCGATCTCACTCAATGGGACACCACGGGACAACACCGGCCACCACGGGACACCACAGGATACCGCGGGACACCTCTCGATCTCACTATCGATCTCACTATCGATCTCATTCAGCGGGACACCATAGGACACCACGGGACACCTCATCGATCTCACTATCGATCTCACGATCGATCTCACTATCGATCGCACTCAACAGGACACCACGGGACACCTCGGGACACCTGTCGATCTCACCATCGATCTTACTATCGATCTTTCTCAGCGGGACACCACGGGACACCTCGGGGCACCACATCGATCTCAGTATCGATCTCAGTATCGATCTCACTCAACGGGACACCACGGGACACCACCGGACACCTGCCGATCTCACTATCGATCTCACTCAGCGGGACACCACGGGACACCTCGGGGCACCACATCGATCTCAGTATCGATCTCACTATCGATCTCACGATCGAACTCATTCAATGGGACACCACGGGACACCACGGGACACCACGGGACACCAGCGGGACACCGGCGGGACACCGCGCGGCACCGGCCGCCGGAGGAGAAACATTTGGTCCGGCGCGGCCCAGCCACAGAATGATTTCGGGACACCAGCGGGACACCGGCGAGACACCGCGCGGCACCGGCCGCCGGAGGAGTTACATGTGGTCCGGCCGCGGCCCAGCCACAGGAGGATTTCCTCTCGCCCGCCCACGCAGCTTCGCCTCGCCCGCACGCACGCACGGCACGCACGACACGAACCCGAAACCGAAATCGATTTCCATGTAGGCGGGTCTCCGTTTCACGTCGGACTCACCCCCCAACCTCCGATACGGATAGATAGAGGGCCAAGGACCCCGGAAAAAACGAGCCCCCCCCTAACGAATTTGGCCCACCCCGGGCCTTTCGGGCAGCCCCCCAGACGACCTGGGAGGACCTCGCGAGAGCCCGAAGACGGCCCCAGAGGGTCCCAGACGTTCTGGCGCGCCCCCGAAACGACCCCAGAGAGCCCCGAGACGGTCGACGACGACCCCAAATGAGCCGTCATACCCCCAAAGATCGCTCCAAAACGTCCCTAGAGGCCTCCAAGAGCACTCCCAAGAGGACCCCAAGAAACAAAGTTCATTGATTTTCCATTGGTGTGTGGGGGATTTGGGAGTTCTCCCCTTTTCGGCTTCCTGGAGGCCCCGAAGAGGCCCTCAGGAAGCCCCAAGAGGCCCCCAAGAGTTTCAAAAGATCCCGAGGCCCCCAAGAGTTTTAAAAGATCCCGCAAAGATCTCACAGAAGTTCGAAAACGTCCGAAAAGGCCCCCAAGACAGGCCCACAACGGGCCAGGAGCCCAAACATGACCCCAAGACAGCCCGATAGAGCCAATACGCGCCCCAAGACAGGCCCAAGCCATAGCGGGACTGCACCACGTCCCACAGAGGCTCTCAGAAGGCTCCGGGAGGCTCCGATCAGGTCCACGTGACGTTAACACTCTGAACGCGAGGCCTCCCAAGAGCGCACGGCGGCGCAAAACAGCTTCAGCGTCGAGATAATCGAGCCCCGCTGCGACACGGTTCCGTTCCCCCCCAAGGCCCTCACACGGCTCCTTCCATAGTCCCAAGACGCGGTCATTGGTAAGCCCAGGTCGCCGTTCCACATTCTGCCGTGTCCTCCATGGCGTCTACTACCCAAGTCGTTCGGCACTCGCGAGCCATTCACTGCGTTTCTGACCCTCCCTCTGTGGCCACGACCGCGTACATGTATATAGACATGCATACGTGTACACGTAGATCAGCCCAAGAAGACATGATACATGTGTATGCGCGAGCATGGATCTCTATATGCATATGCGCACACACGTCTACACTTTTATATATACATATAGATGTATATACATATAGATGCACATCGAACCATAGACCCACACACACACACTTATATTTACACACCTATACATATATATACATATATATATGTATACATCTAAATATATATATATATATGGCGTGCATGCACGTGCGCGCGTATGACATGTATGCACATTCTCGCGCGCGCGTGCACACGCACGCACGCACGCACGCACGCACGCACGCACGCACGCACGCACACACACACACACACACACACACACACACACACACACACGCACACACATACACACACAAACCGCCCACGTGCGAAACTCGAAGGACCAAGGTGCAAGGCGCGAAGCGCCACTGCGGTCTTGTATGTATACCGATTCACATACCACATACGTAAACCCACACGCATATGTATATACATACACACACACACACGTATCCGCCACCGTGCGCACGAGGCACGAGTTGGAGTGTCCTCAGGTCCCTTGTCGATCCCCTGGAGCCCCAGTCCCGAGTCCCGAGGACCCCTCAAGTTGTCGCACGACGTCTTCGGGGCCACGAAGGCCCAAGACAGGTCAAGAGATCCCCAAAGGCTCCCCCAGACGGTCCAAAAGTGCCCCGAATCGCTACGCCGCCGGTCCACGACGCTCAAGGTGGTTCCAAGATGGCCCAAGAAGCCTTCGAGACGCCCTAAGACAGCTTAAGAGCCTTCCCAAGAGGGCCCCGAGAGGCCAAAATCATGGAGTTGCCTTAGGTTGCTCGAGATTCCGACGCTCCAAGACGGCCCAAGAGACCTCCACGACCCACCCAAGACGGCCCAAGAGGCCCCGAAGAGCCAAAGAGGGCCCCAAGACGGCCCCAGAGGGATTCAAAACGGCCCCAGAGGCGCCCAAGGCGGCCCAAGACGGCCCGAAGACAGCCCCAAGAAGCGCCCAAAAGGGGGAACACGAACCGAAAATCCGAGCCTTCCGCCCCAACAGGCTCCCCAGAGGCCCCAAGGAGGCTCCAAGAGGCCCCCAAGAGGCGCCAAGAGGCCCCAAGAGGCGCCAAGAGGCCCCAAAATGGCCCCCAAGATGCCCTCGAGAGGCCTCCCACGACATCCCAGCAAACACCCTAGAGGCCCAGGGGCCGAAGGCCATGCGATATAGACACGTGCAGATTTGCGTATACACTCCCTCATGCCCCACACCCCGCTCCTCCTCGGCACGGAGGGTGGTGGTGGTGGTCGGCACGGGCTTCCACGCTGCTGCAGCGTATGCCGAGAGGCAAACCTCGCCGCACCCCTGCGTCGAGGCAGGGGGCGCCCTCGTCTCGTGAAGGGGCCCCTCGCCCTCGCCCCGCTCCCCTTCGGCACGGAGGGAGGGAGGGAAGGGAAGGCAAGGGGGAACCAGGAATCAGGGAGGGGAGGGAAGGGAAGGGGGAACCAGGAATCAGGGAGGGGAGGGAGGGAGGAAGGGAGGGAAGGGGGGGGAGGGAGGGAGGGAGGGAAAGGAAGGGGGGGGGGGGGGGCTCCAGAAACGGAAGGGAAGGGCGCTGGGCTGAAGGGGGGACGGCGGAGGGCACGCGTGGAGGCGAGGCAGGGAGGGCGGGGGGCAGCACGGGACGGCAGCGGGAGCTCCACGGGCGGCGCGGGCACATGCCGTCGAGCTTGGACAGCTCGATCGACTGCTTGAACCTGGAGGGGAGCATGGCAGCGGAGCATCCCGGGGCGCGAGGTGCACCACGAGCCCGTCGAGCAGTGCCGACGGACGACGGCAGAACTGCGGGGACGGGATCCACGGGGCAGAGGCCCCAGGAAAGGCGCGGCAGGGACAGCCAACCACGCAAAGCAGATCAGGCACACGAGCCGGTACTGCAGGTCTCTCTTGCATGCAAAGCGTCAGCTGGGACCGGCGCGAAAACGGCCCACCACGTTCACCTAGCCCCGCAACCGCACCACCACAACCACCACCCCACTCATCCCACCCCACTCATCCCACCCCACCCCACCCCACCACTCACCCCCTTTCGCTCACGTGCCCTGCGGAGAAGATAGGGGGATGGGAGGGAAACAGACAGCGGCCCAGAGGCAGAGACCCACCGCCGACACATCGCGGAGAGGTTCCCCCCCTGACGCACAGGCTCCCCGGGGCGGTGGGGCACCCGCGCCCCCACTCGGCGACGATTGGGCGATCGGGGGTCGGTAACAAAAAACACTGCACAAACTTACACGTTCGACTGGTCCGCGCGCGTTTCTTGGATCGGCGCTGGAGCGTGCCAGGGGCGGCGGCCCACCCCTCCACCCCCCGTCCCGCCTCTTCGTTTTGCGCATCGCTGCTGCCCTGCCCCCCCCACATCTCCAATCATCCCCCCCCCACCTCCTCTTGATAGTCCTCCTCCTCCTCCTTCTCTTTCTGCTGCTGCTGCTGCTCCATCCTCCATCCTCCATCCTCCTTCTCCTCCTCCTCCTCCTCCACCTCCTCCTCCTCCTCATCATCATCATCATCATCATCATCATCATCATCATCAGCATCAGCATCAGCATCATCACCAGCATCATCATCATCATCATCATCATCATCATCATCATCATCATCATCATCATCATCATCATCATCATCATCATCATCATCATCATCATCATTATCCTCCTACTCGTCATGCTGTTGCTCCTCCGCGCGCGCTCCCACGCTCCCACGCGCGCGCGGGAGGAGAACGAACAGTGAGGAAAATGAGTAGGAAAGGGAGGAGAGAGAGGTGAAGGATCAGGAGATTGGACTGGATGAAGCAACCCGTGGAGGAGGAGGAGGAGGAGGAGGATAAGGATAAGGATAAGGATAAGGATAAGGATAAGGATAAGGATAAGGATAAGGATAAGGATAAGGATAATGATAAGGAAAAGGATAAGGATAAGGATCAGGATCAGGATCAGGATCAGGATCAGGATCAGGATCAGGATAAGGATAAGGATAAGGATAAGGATAAGGATAAGGCCCTTGGGGGTCTCTCTCTCTACTTGGAACATTTGGGGGGTGACTCCTGGGTGGCTATATGGAAGCTGGCCCCCGACCCTTGCGATCAAGGGATGCCTGGTGAGGAGGAGGAGGAGGAGGAGGAGGAGGAGGATCAAGAGGAGGGCGGAGGATCAGAGCGAGAAAGAGGATAAGGGGAGGGCTTCTCGACGAGCGCCCTGCCACCAGATGGCTACCCTCCGATAGGAATTGGGCCTGCCCAAATCCATAGCCCCTTTGGGTGGAGGCACGGGATGCGGAGGGGGAGGGCGGGGCGGGGGGAAAGGCTCTTCCTCCTCCTCCTCCTCCTCCTCCTTCCGCCTCACCGGGCATCCGACGTCGGGATGTTTCGAACCGTGGCCCGTGGCCCCCCTCGAAGTCTGGGCATGCTCCCCAGGACCAGCAATTCATCCCAAGGCTCCGTGAGGACCCCGTGGGGGCCCCCTGGAAGTAGCAAATTGCAAAAAGAACTCGCGCCGTCATTTTTGCCGCCGAGAGAAGATACGGGACCTCCTCCTCCTCCTCCTCCTCCTCCTCCTCCTCCTCGACAGGGGGAAAGAGCCGTTTGTTCTTCTTGTAGACGAGCGCCGCGATTCGTCGCATCTCGACCAGCTCGTGCTTCTCCTGCACCCTATCGGCTGCCCGCCCGCCCCACCTCCTGGAGGATGAGGGAGACACAGACAGAGAGAGAGAGAGAGATGGAGAGGGAGAGAGAAAGCCAATGAGAAGGAGAAGGGGCAAAGAGAGACAGAGAGAGACCTCCCCGCTACCGCTCAGCACCTCATCAACATCGCCGTCCTCCTTCGTCCTCCCTCAATCCCCCTCTTACAATCGGGGCTGATTGGAGAGGACACGCGAGAGGACACAAGACCCTTCCGTGGCCGCAGCGCCACAGGAGTGTAGAGGGCATGGGTCGCGAAACACAAGACACAGGGGTGATCACGTTGGACCCGGCAAGGTCGACCTGCTAATCGGCCTCGACTGTACCCGCCACCACCGCAGGCATCACCACCACCGTCCATCCAGCCGCCCAGCGGGCGAGCCTCGCGGAACGCGCCGTGGCGGTCGAAGGGCCAGGCGGGGCGACCGCCGAGGGAAGCGGCTGGCGGCAGGGAGCCTGCAGCCTCCTGGCCTCTCTCTCGGCTGCACACAGGCGCGGCCCTGGGCGAGGCCGGCCCTTGGCGCGCGGCTTCGGAAGGACCCGGAGGGGAGGGGAGGCGGGGGGGCGAGCGAGCGAGCGAGCAAGCGAGGCGCCTGTGCAGGCTCATGCGGCGAAGCGCGTGCGCCTGTGCCCGTCTGGGCGAGGCCCGTGAGGCCCAAGCAGGCAAGCGGCTGCCGTCGCAGCGACGTCAGCGACGTCGGCGAGCGATCGGGGGGGGGGGGGGGGGGGGGGCAGCCGAGGGTCGCGCTGGCGACGGGTCAGGTCAACTCTGGACGTGCAGTCGAATCTCGGGGCGGCCCTGCAGATGGCGCCCAAGGTATGCCTCGACAGCCCGATCAGCATCGACGCACACACGGTGGCCGCGAGACATCACCCGACCATAGGCACTGTGCCATGCGAGCTGAACGGCTGCAGGTCGACCTTGAGGCAAATTGCGCAGAGGGGAAACACAGGAAAAAAAGCCAGAGGGAGACTGGATCCTTTGCGGCCAGTTTAAGCCTCGCTGCCTCGACGGGCTGGCGACAGTACGACACCTCGGCGTCGCGATCAAGACGGAGATCGACGCGTGCTTGCGGACAAGGTCATGGAGGCCGAAATCGGTCAGGACGGCCTCCAGCTCGCGATCAGCTTCGCACGGCTCAAGAGTTGCTACCGAACGGACAGAGTGAAGCCCATCGTGGGGGGGCCCTTCGTGAGCGGGGCGCGGACGGTAAGTCAAACCACCACCGAGGAATCGCACCAGCGCGGTGGCTCGAGGACGAAATGAGCTGAGTAGTGAGATCCGTGAGCAGCGACACTGTCTCAGGCACGATTTCAACACGGCCAGGTCTGGCTCGCTCCTCGTGGGCCCCCCTCCTCCCCATGCTGTCGACAAGCCAGCGCCAGCAACGCTTCATACTGTCGACAGTACCGGGCCCGCAATGAGAGCTGCTCGTTTTTGACTCGAGTAACGAGGCATCGTCGCCGCGAGTTGGCAACACAGCCCTTCTGTGCTGGCACCCTCACAGCGTCGCCCAGTGCGGGGCAATGAGACAGACCCAGGCTCCAGTCGACGGATCTCCGAATCCTCACTTCAGTTGGCATCACTACGCGGCACATAGTGGTTCTGACGTCGAGGAAGCATGCACATCGTAGTATCACCATTGTTGCGATGACCATCATCACCAAACTCATCATTGAGATCGCCATCAACCTTACACCTTTGTCATCATCACCATCATCTGCATACCCATCATCAGCAACATCAATGTCATCTCCTTCGCCGTCACCATCTTATCCATGAGCATCCACCAACATCACCATCATTACCATTACCGCGACTCATCACCATCATCGTCATCCCTCAGATTCCCCTTCGATCCTGTTCTGCATTCCCCTCCTCTCCCTTCTCATGCCTCGACCCCCGTCCCTCGGAACGAAAGTGCGCGCGTGCGCAGGAGAGAGAGAAAGAGAGAGAGAGAGAGAGAGAAAGAGATGAGGGAGAGAATGAGACAGAGAGAGAGAGAGAACAGAGAGAGAGAGAGAGACAGAGAGAGGCAGAGAGGAAGAGAGAGAAAGAGAGAGAGAGAGAGAAACAAAAAAAAAGACAAAGAGAGAGATCGCAGCATTCGAACGACGGGGTCATCCAGGCCCCCAGGCAACACATGCCAGGCAGACCTTCCTCGCGCAGCGGGAGGCGCCGCATATGTAGCAAGGGCGGTGGGATGACCTGCCCCCTGGCGCGGTCCGCTTGGACCACGGCTGGAAAAAAAAGAGAGCGGGTCTGCGGTGGTCAGGGCCACTCACAGGCCCGTCTGCGCACCCGTGGCTCCAAGAGGCACAGGATCTACGCGTGCTTCGGCATGCGCGCCTCGGCGTCCGAAGAGGGAGGCGCCGCCGGGGGGGCATCCCCCGCAGCGGCCCGAGAACAGTGGCCGCGCGACGGCTGCCGGATTCTTCACACAGCGCACGCGCTCAGAGGCAGACGGCAACGCCCCACAGAGGGGTGCAATGGCCTCCCCTGTGGGCCCAAGGGCGGCAGGGTCCAGCACGGGCGTCCGCGCCAGCACGGACGCCCCTGGCTCCGCCCGACCCCCCCCCCCGCCGACGGCGCCGAGGCCCCGCCAGCAGAGGGGTCAGGCCAGGCAGGAAGAAGGGAGGCGCGAGGGCCCTGCCGCCCCGCAGCGCAGGAGGGGATTCACGCCCCCCGCGGGGGCCGACTGCGCAGAAGGCGAGAAGGCCTCAGTGCAGAGGAAGCCGGGCCCCTGGTCAAGCCAATGGCCCTCGCGCGACGGAGCATGCCGCAGACCAGGAAGCAGGTCCCGAACTGCCCAGGCGCTCGCCTGGCGGCGCGCACCTGCGGGGCAGAGGGGGCAGCCGCGGCGCCGAGGGGTAGCGGGAGCCTGGGGATGTAGCCACCAAGGGGCGTGGGCGCCCATCATTGCTCCAGCACCGTCGGAGTGTAGGAACGGACGGTGTCGTCGTCGTCGTCGTCGGGATACGTCGGTCCCCAGCGCTGGTGAATGGTGTCGAACCAGGTTAGGCGTCCGTCGTAGGCGTCATCTGCTTCCGTGGTGAAGCGGTGGAAGAAAATGTGCCTGACTCTCGCGACCGTAGCGTCGTGCACGGCGCCGAGAGCGTCGTCAAGGCAGAAAGTGAGAGCATGAACACCGCATGCCCGAGTCAGTCGCGTGGTCCCGAGCAGGGCAGGCGGCATGGGACGCAGTGCCTGCTCACGGAGCCAGAACCACAGGTCCGCAAATGACGTGTCTGGCCTGGCGCTGGCCTTCATCCGCCGTCCCTGGGGCCGGACAGCGGGTCGGCGTCCTGCGATCGAATTGTGGTGAACCAAATAAACATCGAGCGCCTAAAGTGCCCAAAGTGGGGTGGCGCGACGGCGCGGCGAGACCAGCGGTCGCCCCGGGCCGTGAAGAGTCGTAGGGGGACACTGGTCTGGCGCACTGCGTTGTCGCCTTCTCTGGCAGGGGGGCCTGGTGGACTCCGCCTTGATGAGGGTGCGCTGCAGGTTGGCAACCGTCACCTGACTTCGGCAGGTTCGTGTCGTGACGACCCCGGCGTTAATTTCTGACACCGCGGGGATCTTTCAACCCTGAACGATCGGCGAAACTCCAAATCGTTCCACATCGAACGATTCTGGGTCGCCCGCGGTGTTCAACGTTGAACGCCGCTGGCGGGGTCGCCGCCGTACCTGCCGTACCTACCGTACCTTGGTGGCGTGGTGGTACGGTTGTCGTCGTGGAAGGTCGAGCAATCGACAGTCGGTCGTCGGCGGTCCGCGGTCCTTCCGGCGGTCGGCGGACGGCCGTCGGCGGTCGTCGGGCGGACGGTCGGCGGGCGGTCGTCGGCGGCCGCCGAGCAGTCGACAGACGGTCGTCGACACCAGAAGTGGCTGGAGCGCGGGCCGGGCGGCCGCGCCGAGGAGCGCCAGCGAGTCGTCGGACACGCGGCGAGGGTGTCACGACGAGCCACGGTGAGCAAAGTTGAACTGTGACTGCCGCTTGGGCCCGGCGGCCCTCGTGGATGGCGTTCCTGAGGGTCGGCGAACGCTCGCTCGGAGAGCCGTTGCGGACGGCGTCAAAAGTCATTGTGGAGTTCGGCGCCGCGCATCAGCCGTCGAACACTGGTCCGTCGGTCGGCGGCGGGGCGGCGAAGAGCTTCTCCCTGCTAGGGGAGCAGGTGGCAAGCTGGCCGTGCGCAGATAAGCGATGCTGCCGTCGGTCAGTGGGACCACCCAATCATCACTGGTTGCGCTCTTGGCTGATAACCGTCACCAGAATGCCTTCGCAAACGTGTGGTGGCACGAGTGTCGTCGTCGGAGGTCGAGCAGTCGACAGTCGGACGCCGGCGGTCGCTCCAGCGGTCTGCGGACGGTCGCCAGCGGTCATCGAGCGGACATGGGTGACAACACCAGGACTGGCTGGAGTGCTCGCCTGGTGGCCACACGGCGGGCCGCCAGTAGATCGTCGGACACTCGGCGGGGGGATTGGGATGAACCACGGTGGGTGGCCTCACTGCCGCTTGATTCTGGTGCCCGCGTGGATTGTGCTCCCAGAGTCGGCGGACGAACGCACAGAGGGTCGGCGCGGACTGCTGAATTATCAGAGTGAGTGGGCCGAACGGTTAGTCATTGTCCATGGGTGCGTGGCTGAATAGGGGATTCGTGGTGAGAACTCTGCTTGTTGCGTTGTTGTTGTTGTTGTTGCTGTTGCTGTTGCTGTTGTTGTTGTGGTTGATAGGTTGATTGGTTGGTTGGTTGGTTGGTTGGTTGGTTGGTTGGTTGTTGTTGCTGTTGTTTGCTGTCGTCGTCCCACCCCGCGACCCACCCCGCGACCCACCCCGCGACCCACCCCGCGACCCACCCCGCGACCCACCCCGCGACCCACCCCGCGACCCACCCCGCGACCCCCCCCGCGACCCACCCCGCGACCCACCCGCGACCCACCCCGCGACCCACCCGCGACCCACCCCGCGACCCACCCGCGACCCACCCTCAAGGGATGAGAAACCACCCGGACCCGACAATCGACGTTTACTAAATGGCCCTGGGCGTGTACTAAACAACCCTGCCCTATTCGATTCATTTCTTGTGCGCATTCACTAAACGGCTTCGCTTGTCGGGGTGATTATTAAGGGAACCATGTGCGACCCACCCGCGACCCACCCGTGATTTACCCACATTGGCTTAACGCAGAAATCGGCGCCTGCGGCGGGTTCGTTGCATAATTTGTGAAACTTTGGCGCCTGCGGCGGGCTTCTCCAGAATCTCGCAATCTGATGACGTCCCCACCGCCCCCTCACTCTTACCCGCACCTGCGGGGTGCTACGTAGGTGATTTCGGCGTCGAGGGTCGGCCGTCGGGCACTGGTCTGTCGGAGTACTGGCCGTCGATCGTCGTCGTCAGAGGTCGTGGGCTGTCGGTCGTCGGCGATCGTTGCGGCGGTCGGCGGACGGTCGTCGACGGCCGTCGGACGCACGTGGACCCCACGCGAGGACCGGCTGGGGCGCTAGCCCGGCGGCCACACTGATGAGCACCAGTGGGGCTTATCGGACGCTCGGCCGAGGGGCCGCGTGTGGGTCACGGGGAGCGGACCGACTGCCGCTCGGGCCCGGCGGCCCTCGTGGCCGATGCCCCCGAGAGTCGGCGGGCGCTCGCGCGGAGTGTCACTGCGGACTATGCCCTCTGAGTCGTCGTTCGCTTCGGCGGGCAGTCGTCGGGCGTCGGCAGACCGTCGTCGGCGGCCAGCGGGTCGGCGGACGGTCGTCGGAAGTCGTGGGGTCCGCTGGTATTGGGCGGATCCTCGTAGCTGTATCCTTGGGAGTCGGCAGACACTCACACGGCGGGTCACAGCGGACTGCGTCAGGGGAGACAGCACGGAGTCTGGCTGGAGTGTTGGCCTGGTGGCCACACTGAACAGCAACACGGGCAGTCGTCGGACACTCGGCAAGAAGGTCGTACCGAACCGCGGTGGGTAGTCTGGCTGCAGTGTGGGTCTCGTGGCCCTCTTGGCAGGCGCCAGTGGTAATCGTCGGACTATCGGGGGAGGGCTCTGGTGGACAACGACGTGGCGGCCGGGCACCCGGTGGCATCCCTGCTCTGCGGGTCCAGGGGCTTCGGCTTGGATAGCGTCTCGAAAGTCCCGTGGGGCTTCTGGTAATCCTGCAGGTCGGTGATCCTGCAGGTCGGTGATCCTGCAGGTCTCCATGGATACCGCCGCGAAAAGGATGAGAGTCACCCTGGCCTGCGGGGGGCTTGGGATTTCAGCGCGAAGAGCTCGGAGATCGTCGCGTACAACGCGCAGATCGTCACGGAGTGCGCGGAACTCATGCACAGGCAGGTACTCGTGTAGATCAGCGGCCCGATCAGGAAGATCAAGGGCAGGTGGATCAGAAAAAAGCCTGGTCGTCGAGTACGGGGACTCGAAGGAGGTAGTTCCCGTGGTCGAAGAATCGCACACGCACCGCAGGACGTCGTAGCCGAAGCAGGGGGCGCGGCACGCGGCACGCGGCAGCTGCCGCCGTCCGGAATCGGGCACGTTGAGACGCTGAAGAAGTCGCGGGATCTAGGACTGGGCCAGTGGGGTCGGACAGCGCTTCGGTCCTGGTTGACCTATCGAGCTGTCGTACCATTAGTATCTCCGTGGTCTCGCTTGAGTTCGCGTTGAGCTCTGCCCTGGTAGGTGTGCCCGTAGGGTTTGGCAGTGGCTGCAGCAGCGTCGTCCAGGGCCCTCAGGTGGTAGTTACCCCTCCCGTTGTAACGTGAGGGTAGATCGACCGCAGCTGAGGCCGTCCAGCTCGCTGCACAGTCTGCCGCGTGGTTGTCAGTGGCGTGCAGGGCTGCGGCAGCGGCTCGCTGTAGCAACTCGAGGGCCGATGGCTGAGGTGACCACGGAATTCCAGGGATCCTGCCAATGCCGCAGTCGCTGGTGGTCCTGCGGGCGTCGCCCGGGCGCGGGTTTCCGATGGACGCTACTGGTACGTGGCGTCCCGTGATCGGCCCTGTGAGAGAAGGCGCGATGGGGACGTCCCGATTTGGTGCGCAACTGCTGATGAGAGGGCCAGAGCCGTTGCCCCGGTGGGCGTCGGCGGAAGCCGTGGGCCCTGCTGGCTCACGGCTGGCGCCCTCTGGAAGCGGCACGGCTCGATGTGGTCGATCTTCTTCTCGCAGTTTCACCCGCTCGCCCCTGAGCTTCCGCTGATCGGAGCGGCGTTGTCTGTGCACGCTGCCAAGATCGCACTGACGCGTGCGGGCAAGTTCGTTGTGCGCTGCGACTGCTCGGTCCACGCCACCACTGCTCTGGAGTGCGGCGGTGCAAGCTTTCGTTCGGCTGTCTCCCGCCGATCCGTTTTAAAGTTGGCTTGAAGCGGGCCGTGCCGTGTGGCTCGAGTTGGCTGCGGCGGTGTATGAAGCGCACGGCGAGGGCTCCCTGGAACAATTGCGGAGAGCGTGGGGATAAGGAAGAGGATGTGGCACAAATCAGTCCTGTGGTGAGGGTCACAGGTCCCGATTCGCCAGAGAGAGAGAGGGAGAGGGATAGAGCGCGAGAGAGAGAGAGAGAGAGAAATAAAGGTAGAGGGATGAGGCGTGCTAAGATCTCCGGTAACTGCTCAACAATATTTCTAGTTCGCGCGCGCGGGGCGGGCCCTGGGGGTCCCCGGACGAAAAGTACCCCGGCAAGGTCCCGGCAAGGTCCCTTTTCGGAGCCCAGGAGGGCTCCAAACGGTCCAAGAGAGGCCCGAGAAGCCCTCCAGACGGTCCAAGAGAGCCGGGAGACGCCGAAATATCACTCCCAAACGCCTGCGATGGCCTCAAGACGGCCCAACAGGCCTTCAAGACGCCCCAAGAGGTCCCTAAGCGGCGCCCCAAGAGGGCTCCCACAAGCAAAAATCGTCCCATTCCCTTAGGAAAACGTGCATTTTTAACATATCCGCCTCTTCGTCTTTCACACCTTTCAAGGCGGTCCAAGAGGCCCCCAAGATCACCCCAAGACGGCCCGAGAGACCCTCAAGACCGCTCAAAGACGGCCCAAGAGCGCTCCAAGAAGGCCCAAGAAACCCTCAAGAACTCTTTTTCGGAGCCCAGGAGGGCTCCAAATCGGTCCAAGAGGGGCCCGAGAAGCCCTCCAGACGGTCCAAGAGAGCCGGGAGACGCCGAAATATCACTCCCAAACGCCTGCGATGGCCTCAAGACGGCCCAACAGGCCTTCAAGACGCCCCAAGAGGTCCCTAAGAGGTCCCTAAGCGGCGTCCCAAGAGAGCTCCCACTAGGAAAAATCGTCCTATTTCCACTGGAAAACGTGCATTTTTAACATATCCGCCTCTTCGTCTCTCACACCTTTCAAGGCGGTCCAAGAGGCCCCCAAGATCACCCCAAGACGGCCCGAGAGACCCTCAAGACCGCTCAAAGACGGCCCAAGAGCGCTCCAAGAAGGCCCAAGAAACCCTCAAGAACTATTTTTTCGGAGCCCAGGAGGGCTCCAAATCGGTCCAAGAGGGGCCCGAGAAGCCCTCCAGACGGTCCAAGAGAGCCGGGAGACGCCGAAATATCACCCCCAAGCGCCTACGATGGCCTCAAGACGGCCCAACAGGCCTTCAAGACGCCCCAAGAGGTCCCTAAGCGGCGTCCCAAGAGGGCTCCCACAAGCAAAAAAATCTCATTCCCTTAGGAAAGCGTGCATTTTTAACATATCCGCCTCTTCGTCTCTCACACCTTTCAAGGCGGTCCAAGAGGCCCCCAAGATCACCCCAAGACGGCCCGAGAGACCCTCAAGACCGCTCAAAGACGGCCCAAGAGCGCTCCAAGAAGGCCCAAGAAACCCTCAAGACGGTCCAAGAGGCCCCAAGACGGCCCCATGATTGAGGTCCACAGGGGCAACCTGAACGGAAATTTTGAGCCTCCCGCCCAAACACGCCCCCGAAATGCCCCTACAAGCCCCCAAGTAGCCCCACGAAGCCCCCAAGAGAACCCCAAGAGGCCCCCAACAGGCCGCAAGAAAGCCCCAAGAGGCCCCCAAGAGACCCCCAGGAAGCTCCCAGGAAGCCCCCAAGAGGCCAGGCAGACCCCCCCAAGAGACCACCAAGAGAGCCCACCCAGAGCCATCCACGAGGCCTCCCAAAGTTCCCAAGAAGCTCCCACGAAGTTTCCAAGGGCTCCCAAGACCCCCCAAGACCCGCGATGGCACAATACGGGCCGGCGGAATGAGCGAAGCGATTCAATAAAGGTAGAGGGATACGGAGGAGGAAGAGGGACAGGGAGAGAGAGGAGAGGGCGAGACGGAACGAGGCTCACGAGAGGACGAGGTGAGAGAGGAGGCGGGGGGGGGGGAAGGGGAGCTGGGGAAAGAAAGCATGGGGGGGAGCGGCGAGGAGGGATGAGAGAGCCATGGGGGGGAGGGAAGTACGAGTAGGGAGGGAGGAGCGAATGAACATGGGAGGGGGGAGGGATGGAGCCTTCTGGGGCGCTCAGGGCCAGAAGCCTGTGTTCCCCACCCAGCCCCGTCCAGCTTCTGTGCGAGCGCGATCTGGTCGAAATTGTCGAAGTCCTCGATGGACTGGCGCAGCTCCTCGTGCTGCTCGCTCTCGCAGTACATTTCGTTGATGGCCTCGGGTCGAGAACGTCGCTCGATCCTGCTCGCCCCCCCCCCGTCCCGTCCCGCTGCCCCAACAGTTCCCCGGCCTCGTCGCACTCCTCCATTCCTCTCGTGCCTTTTCTTGCTGCCTAGTGCCTCCTCCGCCTGCCTCCTCGTCCCGTCGTCCTCCCTCCCCCCCACCATCCTCGTGGGCTGGTGGCCCAAGACATCCAACGTCGCGGTTTTTTGACAACGTGGAACCCTGGAGTCTAGAGCAAATTCCCTTGACCAGTTTGTTGAGCCTGAACGGTTGTTTAACAATGCGGATGCCTGGAAAGGACCCCCGAAGCCGGAGCTTGGCAAAAACATGTGTAGCGACTCTTTCCCGCAGCGCGATGTCAAAATCCACCCCATGCCGTTCCCGACCCCCCCGCAGGGGCCTCGTTCACGGCCGTGCTGTTGTGTTGCTGCGACGACTTCAAGAAGGGCAGGATGAGCGACAGGTGTCCCGCCTTGCGCACCTGCTGCACGACACGGGCGTGGTCCACCTCAAGCGAGACGCGCGCGCTGGCGCGTCACTCACGCTCAAGAGGGGGCGAGGAACACGACGAGGCCGAGGTGGAAGGAGGAATAGGAGAAGGAGGAGGACGAAGAGGAGAACTAGAATTGCGAGGGTTGGAAGCCGCACGAGAGAAAGCATGGCCGCAATAAGATGTAGATTGTGGGGTTTGTACTCATCCTAACATTAAAAATATGCGTCAACGCTGGGGCCAAACAGCGGCGACTTCTCGTATCGCGATTGGCAACAAGGGCGGACAGATCGTGCCCCAAGAGACCTATGGTCAGCATGAAAAAACTACACGAGACAATAAACGCCCCATGGAGCGCACGAGGGGGAAGAGGGGGAGGAGAAAGAGAGAGAGAGAGAGAAACAATTACTCACTGCGTGGAGTTCCCCATGTGTGCATCTCATGTTTTATGTCATGCCATAGTGAGCGGCTGTTCATGAGCGCTTGACTATAATAGCGCGTCCACGTGGGCGACAGGGCCGACGAAGACGAGTGAATCCTAATGCGAGCGAGTATGAATCAGAGCGAGCTTCGAGCATGATTGAATATGAGCCTCCCATTCACCCCCCCTCCTCAAACTGGCCGCGAACGGGCCCGTGAAAACACCCCTGGCGGCTCCCCTCAGGGGTGCTGAAACCAGCGTCCCGCCTGAGGCATCCTCCAAATCTGTTCTGAAAGCCGAAGATGTTGGTCATGAAAACGGACAGACCGCCTGGGACATCCCCACAAACTGGCCGCGAACGGGCCCGTGAAACCACCCCTGGCGGCTCCCCTTCGGGGTGCTGAAACCAGCGCCCCGCCTGAGACATCCTCAAAATCTGCTCTGGAAGCCAATGATGCTGGGCATGAAAACGAACAAACCGCCTTGGACATCCCCGCACACTGGCCGCGAATGGGCCCGTGAAAACACCCCTGGCGGCTCTGTTTAGGGGTGCTGAAACCAGCGCCCTGCCTGAGACATCCTCACAAACTGCTCCAAACGCAAACGAACCTGCCCACCAAAACAGCCAAACCGCCTGAGACATCCCCACAAACTGGCCGCGAACGGCTCGTGAAAACACCCCTGGCGGCTCCCCTTGAGGGTGCTGAAACCAGCGCCCCGCCTGCATCATCCTCAAAAGTTGCTTTGAAAGCCAAGGATGCTGGGCATGAAAACGAACAAACCGCTTAAGATATCCCTGCAAACTGGCAGCGAACGGGCACGGTTCCTACCCCCCGGCGGGTGCTGAAACCAGCGCCCCGCCTGAGACATCCTCACAAACTGCTCTAAACGCAAACGAGTCCGCCCACCAAAACAGCCAAACCGCCTGAGACATCCCAACAAACTGGCCCAGAACGGGCCCGTGAAAACACCCCTGGCGGCTCCAATTAGGGGTGCTGAAACCAGCGCCCCGCCTGAGACATCCTCACAAACTGCTCTAAACGCACACGAGCCTGCCCCCCCAAAACAGCCAAACCGCCTGGGACATCCCCACAAACTGGCCGCGAACGGGCCCGTGAAAACACCCCTGGCGGCTCCCCTTCGGGGTGTTCAAACCAGCGCCACGCCTGAGACATAGCCCGAATCTTCTGTGAATTGATAAAACCTGCGTATGAGTAAGTCTGACTATGAGAAGGTCTGAGTCTGAGTAAGTCTGTGTGTGAGTAAGTCTGTGTATGAGTACGTCTAGGTATGAGTAAGTATGGGTATGATTAAGTATGTGTATGAGTAAGTCTGTGTATGTGTACGTATGGGTACGAGTAAGTCTGAGTATGAGTAAGTATGAGTATGAGTATGTCTGAGTATGAGTAAGTCTGTATATGAATAAGTCTGGGCATGAGTAAGTCTGAGCATGAATAAGTCCGACAGAAGGGGAGGAGAAGAAGAGGGAGTAGGATGCGTCCAAGTAATAACAAGAACCCCATCTATGATATGGAGAACAAACCAAAAGAACATAGCAATGGGTTGGTCCAGCTCCGCCCACAACGCCAGACAGCAGAGAGCAAAAAGAAACAACAACGTATTAACGACACCTAAAACCGAACGCTCACGTGAGCGCAGCGTGCCGTGCAGCCCCCGCCTTGCACCACTGCTGGCGAAAGTGGTTCGAAGCGAAGTGCACAGCGTACGTGGCGAGAGCCTGAAAAGACAGGGTTGCGCCTGCTGCGCGCCCTATACACAAAAAACTGTCCAGACTAACATTTACGAGCCGCAGAAACGTTGGTTTTAGCCTGGCAAACACGGACAAATCGCAGAGTGTTCAATGCAGTCGCGAGCACTGCTCGAGCAGCCGAAGCAACACGCCCGTTCTTCTTCAAACCTTCTCGCGGTGCACCTGCCGTTCCACTGAGCCCTGAGCACCGCGGGTGCGACCTTCAGAAGCGTGAAGTTGCGGAGTCTGGCAAATATGGCAGGCGCCCGCCAGGCCAGAATGCCGATTGGCGACGAAGCCTTCCACCTCGCAGTCTTATGCCTGATGCGGGCTTCCACCCGCAGCCGCCTGTTCGGGTGCGCGCGGAGCGCTGCGCACAGCGCAATCTGCACGGCAGCAGGACCGATGCGGAGCAGGCTCGCTTGGTCAACTGCTCCCTTCAAAACGCAAGCGAGATCTGAATCGTACCAGCTCCTCCTTCTTGCGGCTGTCGCCACTGCAAGAATTATATATCGACGTGCGCCTCTTCCAACTGCGCTGCCAGAGAAGAGAAATCCGTAACAACCGTGCTGGCGACCCTAAGTTTGGTGGCCCACGCGGCGTCGGAAAGACAACAAATCCCACCCGAAACCCGATCAAAACCTTCAAATTGCACAAATCTGCGACGCTCCGCCAACCACCTGGGCCAGGCGACAGCCGACCGAGGGCAGACGCCTGTTCGGCGGGTACCTCTGCAGTCGGGTCACAAAATTGCCAAACAGATGACTGACAACTGACGACGAATGCGTTGTAAACCCGTGCGTAAAAATGCAGTCCAAGCTCGCACCCTGCCCAATGGCGAGCTCGTTTTGAATACTTGGCGAGGGTTTTTGCCCAAGCGGCCTCGGAACGGCCAGGCCCCACCTCAAAGCCACGGTACGTGGCGCTGGTTGCGAAATGAGCGCCAGACCATCGGGCATCATGTCTTGCACGCTGCGACAGAAACTGGGCCCCGTAGTTCCCCACAACGGAACCACCACGGTGTTGGACACGTTCAAACGAAGGCCTGAGACAAAGAACATTATTTGTACACCGGGAGCGCGGGTTGCGCGGGCGATCGAACAGCTCTGGCGGAGAAGAAAAACCAAAGGAACTCGGTAACCATCACTGTCCAACCGCACATTCAACATTCGGCAGGGAGACACCGTCGCTGCGTGACCTGACGGGCGTGCGCGTGAGGACGCAAGCTCGTCCTCTGCACTGGTGAGCTCGCTCGTGCTCTTAAGTGCGGCACAGGATGAACTCACAGGTGTGAGCGATGATGGCGTGAGCTCCCTTGTGCCGCATTGCGTGATGCTGGTGGCCTCGGGCCACAGACATGACGTCCGAAAAGTGTCCTGAGGCGTAGGCAAGATGATGGCCCCGGGGTCGCGTGAGTGATGATGTGGAAGTGTAGTGCCTTGACCTGGTAGGTGGTAGAGGAGGTGATGAATGGAGATAGACCTCGAGGGATACGCACACTATTTTGGCACGATCGCCTCACGATCCATCGGACACGCTCCGATCGCGACCACCGCAGGCGACCTCCCCGCTGGACGTGCCCGGTTCGGCACTGCCCCTGGGCGAACCCTGGGCCCATCGCCAACATCGTTGGGCCTGGGACCTCGCCGGAGGGCCTTCCGGAGCACAGCGTGCCGAGCCGGAGGGCCTTCCGGAGCGCAGCCCCTGACCCAGACCGCTCGGAAATCAAGCCTCTGATGGCCGCACCTGGCCGCCTTCTCGGGCGGGCGCGCGCAAGGCGACGACGCCGTGGAACTGCCGCCTCCTCCCTGTCGTTGCCCCCGACGCTCTGGGGAGGCTCGCGGGGGCCACCGCGCCGGTGGCGGGGTCCGGGGGCACCGTGCCCTCCTCCGCGGCCCGAGGGGAGCTTCGTCCTGGCTGGCCCCCCAGGCCGCAGAAGCCAGGTTCGGCCTCCTGGAAGTCTGGGCGCTCACAGTCGAAAGCGCAGGTCGGCGAGGGAGCGCCCGTGCCGCCGCCAAGGCCGAAGGGGAGCGTGTCGGGGTCGTCGGTCGGCGCGGCCTCCCGGAACACCGCATCGAGCCTGGCTTTGGGGCCCGGGGCTGCCGGATGCTCGCGGCGCAGAGCCCCTACTAAGCCCAACGCGGTGCCTCACTCAGTGTCTTCACTGTACCCCGCGATTCAAGCACATGCCTCTTGCTTTCCAAGCAGGTTCCATTGCTGGGCAGTTTCGCTAGCGCTTTCAATATTATGTGTTTGTTTTTTATCACTTTCTCTTTTTCTCTCTATTTCTTGCCCTGTTTCCTACGTCTGGGATCCTGTTTCCTTCATGTTGCCTACTAGGGGGGGCCACGGCGCCAAATGCTGCCGCGCGACTCTGCTCTGGGCCCCTGGCCGCCCAAGGTTACCCCAGGATTCCAATGTTAAGGGCCGCCACCAGACGGCGAAGAATGCCCAAGAGTCCTGCAGGAGGTCCCCAAGAGGCCCCCACAGACTGAGAGGTGAGAACCACATGGCCTTGCCACATGGGACCTGGGAAGCGCGGGGCGGTGAGAACCACACGTCTCTGCCACACTTCATGGACCTGGGAGGCCTGGCGTAGCGTGAGAACCAAATGCCCTCGCCCCGCAACACATCCTGAACGAGGGAGCCCTCGAGGTGAGAACGAGATACCCCTGCCCGACTTCATGGCCCTGGAAGGCTTGGAGTGGTGAGCACCCGAACCTCTTGTTACACTATCTGGACCTTGGTGGCGTGGAGTGGCAGTGCCCCCGCCATATGGATATGTGCGAACTGCGAAGTGCGAACTTCGCGAACTGGACCTTTATGGACCTTCGCCTTTTCTGGACCTTCGCGAACTGGATATGTGCGAATGCGAAGTGCGGAACACGTTTCTAAGCCGCGAAGGCGTAGATAGGTGGGCGTCCCTTGTTCTGCACAGAAACACCACAAGTCTGACAACGTGAGAAATGATGCCACGAGAATGGGAACAAAGGAGTCGGTCAGAAATCATACCACCAGGCCGTTCTCGCACGCTGCTCCCAATCGAAAGACGAGGACGCTGACGAGGAGAGGGACGAGGCGGGGAGGAAGAAAACTGGACTGTGAACGCCAGGGGTAGGAGAGGAGAGAAGAAAGGGGAGAGAGAAGAGGAGCCACGGGAAAGGAGGAAGGGAGGGGCACAGTCCCCCCGCGACCTACCCCCCCCCAGGCGGAGGAGGAAGAGGAGGAGGAGGAGGAGGCAGAGGAGGACGAGGACGAGGAGAGCGAGGAGGAGGAGACCCAGCCCCTGAGGCGCACCGATGTCTTCCGCTGGACGCACCCTCATTGCGCTAGCGCCCTTACAAAGGCACTGCGTTTCGCGCGCAGCCGGAGCCGACCCTCAAGGAACTTTACTCCCAGCGGCTGGGACTGCAGCTGACGAGCACGGAGGTTGTTTAGACTTGAAACCAACAGATCGGCAGCAGCAGCCGCAGAGGCGATAATCGCATCGGCATTCTCGAAAAGGAAAGAACAGAGATCGAAGCAGGCTCGAGGACCGCTGCAACCCCACCAGGCAAGAATGGGGGAAGGAGGCGCTTCAGAACGCGAACGATATGGGGACAACCCATATAATGTAGGATATTCCCATTACCAGAACATCCGAATCTGCATAAAATATTCGCTTGACGATAACGACGCGACGCGTTCACTGCATTGCACATACATCTCAGCATGCTGACCCCCATGAAGCACGGGAGCTCGGCGCTAATGATCCTCAGGCGGAGGAGGGATATAGAGACCTTGTCCTCGGTCAAACGTGGCCACCAGTATCTTAGCCTGCGACCGAAGGCTTCCTGCAAAGAGGGTAGCGGAAACAACTCCAGGAACGCCCTTTAAATTTCCCTCTGGATCTTGGGGCACTCGAGAGCCCCCTCTCCCAAGGTCGTTCGCGGACCGTGTGCGGGGGGGGGGGGAGCGACCAGATATAATCCTACTCGGCAATAGTGTGCACGAGGGGCGAGCGGCAATATGAATTGTTGACCCTCCACCCGAGAATCACCTCATCACTCTCCAGGACCTCCTCCAACTCCTGCTTGCAGTCCCAGAACCTGGGAGAGCGCACAGCGTTGCGATGACGAGCGGCACGGGCCTCGTGCCCCAGCACGCGCGCACTGTTGCCAGACGGCAGGACGTCGCCGAGCTACTGCCACATGGAATTCGGGATGGCACGGCGAGGGCAGGCAGTCAACCGCTGGAGCCCGCCCCTCTCGGCATCGCTGGTCAACGCGTTGATTCGGGAGAACGACCCATCAAATAACGGCACGGAAATCGCAACCGAATTGCAGGCGACGGTCGAAGGGCCAAACCCACCCCCCATGGAAAGCACGAAACGACACCTGTCAAGAAATGTAGAAACAGGGGCCACCCACTATGCGTTCCAACCATGGCCTCCCAGAGTAATGCCCGCGTATTTCCCCAAGCTCTGGATCATGAAACTTCGGACCCGTGCCCCATGATCGGCGAACCTCCTCGCCCCCTCCTCCTTCGCGACCGCCCTAGGGGCAATGGTGGCACACTTACAGAGGTTGAAAATGAGGCCCGCGGAAAAAGCGCTGTTGACCAGCACCCGCAGGGGCACGGGGAGAGAAACATGCAAGTCCAGAGAGAAGAACGCTACGCCATCAGCAAACGCGGCAAGCTCGGACATCGGGGAACGCAGCCGGTTGGCGAGCTTCCGCTACAATGGCCCCGGGCAAAAAAATACTACCTGACATCGGGCAACCTTGACGAACTCCACGGCGGATGGGGAACCCAGGGGATGCGCGGCCCCCCTGGGTCATCTCCACAGAAATGTCAGTGTGCAACGCGGACATCGCAGCTAACGTGGTTTCGAGAATACCCACGGCCTTCAAATCAAACAGAATCCAGGCGCGGAGCAGGTTCGGAAACGCAGCTTTAACCTCGAGGAGAAAGCATCCAGCCTCCCCCATGCACAGTGGGACTCCATGCCGGAGCACGTTGCACTCGAATTTGAGCACGATGTCGGCCATTGGCCGAATCCGCGCGAAACCGTCTCCGGATGGGCGAGGCGCCCAGCTCACGCTGGTCAGCCAACGAGCGATTGATGGCAGACCCCAATGTCTTAGCGTCGCTGTTGCTCGGGGTGATGGGGCGCACTCGGGGCCCAGTGGGGCCCCGGACTGCGCGCTCTGGGGGAGGTCGTAGAGGGCGCTAATCACGAAGGGGCCACCATCTTTCCAAGCGGAATAGCAGGGCCCATCAGGACCAGGGGCGCAATCATGAAAACGAGAGACCAATACCCCGAACGTTTCCCAAGACATGTTCCAGCTCACGGCGGGGTCGACACTAGGGATGTACGGGGCGAGCTCATTGGCGGCCTCGGGAGACACTGGGGCTGCCTCGTGGACGCGGGCCCAGCGGCGGCGGAGAGCGTCAGCGCCAGCTTCAAGGGTGGGAAGATGAGACCCGCCTGGCGCACGCACGCCTGCAATGGTCACCCGCCGATTGCGAGGCGCCCAGGTCTGCGCCCAGCATCGAAGCTTCTGCAATCTCGCCTCGCGAAGGCCCCGTGGAAAGAATTCGCCCATCCCTCCCCCCCTTTCCTCCTCGAGCCCACCCCTGGTCACCTCCCCCATATAGTCGTGGAAGCCCTGCCAATCGATCCACTGAACGGCGCGCGGATCGATGAAGTCGGCAGACGTCGGGGCGATCTTAAATGCAAGGCCTGACGGCGGCAGCCTCACCAGCGTGCGTGGCCCGATCAACTGCGAACAGCCAGTGCAGGTGCTGCGATGCAGATTCGGGCGGAAAGTGCCGCGATTGTTGCCTGCCTCTGAAAGCTGCCAGCTGCACTCTTTGATATCCTGCATGTGCGTGCACAAGTCTCTGGAGAAACCGATGTCGGCTATGATATGATGAAGAGCAGCGGGGTAGAGCTTGTGCTCTGTCACCCAAGATGGCGCCGAGACCCCCCCATCGGGGGCAGCCGCGCGAAGGGAGAGGTAGACGGGGCAGCGGTCGCTCGGGGCCCTCAGGTCGCAAGCGCCCCACGCTGTTCCAGGGGGGGGTAGTCCAGCACGTCGGCTGCGCATGAGCTCGCGAAGATCCCATCAATTCTCGAAAGAGCTTCGGCTGTTGTTTGACCGTCGACAATGCACGTAACGCGACGAGCGTGGGAAGGCTGCAGCGCCTCAATCATGTCGGGGAAGAGCGCCTCGAAGAAGCGGAGGGGGCCGTCTGACGCCAGCTGGGGAGTCTCCCCAGCGATTCACTGAATGCCCTCGCCAGGCAAGAAGAAGTTGAAATCGCCTAGCACGAACGTCTGCACCTGAGCTGGCGGCAAATGGGCCTGGCGGAGCGCTCTTAAAGAGGCGCGCTGCTCAACTCTCGAAATTGTGGGATCAACGTGAACGCGAACGATCGCGATCTCATCGTCGCCCACAGATGCCCGAATACTGTGGACCCCCCACGGGGTCACAACCGAGTCTTGGAGACTCCGCAATTTGTGAAGGATGGCGGGGTCGACGACCAGAACGACCCCAGCGCGGGCGCGCGTCTTCTCGTCGAACGACCCGAAGATGCCATGATGGGGCAGGTCCCCTTGGGGCACCACGCGACCCCATGCGTGCCCTTGCGCTTCCTGGAGGGCAGCAGTACCTGGATCAGCACGCATAACATTCAGCTTCGCTTGGCTGCTCGACTTTCACGATGCCCGTGAACCGATCCAAAAAGACCTCCAGTGCAGTGTACCGGGTAGTGAGGCGGAGGCCAGAGCCCCTACAGAGCCCAAATGGGGAGGAGGGCCCAGCGGGGGATCAAGAAGCCTGTGGCGGGGAGGAAGTCATACCAGCCAGCCTAGGGTCGGACTGGGAGCGGATGGCGCGCTTGCGCTGACAGGAATGGGAAACTCGCCGCTGCTGCCGATGACCAAAAAGAGCGCCAGGTGAAGGACCCTCAGGCTCTATCCCCACATCACCTGGCTCACACATAAATCTGACACGACTCGCAGGCGGCTCAGGAATTTCTCAAATGCACCCCAGGGCTGTCACGTCGGCGGCGACTTGGATGAGGGCATTGGCGGCCTCGGCGTGGATGCCCCACTCCCTGAGGTTGTCGAGATTGGGCTGGATGCTGACATGATTCTCGCGCTCCTCGGCCGCGTGGAAGAGCACCCAATGGTCGTCCTCCTGGATTTCGATGATGGAGAACTCTCCGCGAGCGCCGTTGACACCGAGCTTGTGGCTGCTTGGAACCCTTTTTGAAAGACCCTGTAGCTTGGACAAGATGCGGGGCCATGGGATTGAGAGCGCGCGCTGGCGCAATCTGTGGACCAGCGGCATGTCGGGCCTGGCGCCGAGGTTGACCTGCACCTTCTCGCGCGGGTCGTGCCACGTGGGCATGTTGTCGTGTGCCCATTCACGGAACTGCTTGCACGCGTCCTCGGTGCTGAAGTGGACGCTGAAGCTCATAGACACTTTGTGGAACTTGGCGGTTATGTCTTGGTGAAGAGCAGGATGTGTGTTCGCCAAAGCCGACTTCATGCTGGCGGAATGGAAGCGACGATGACTTTCCAACACTGCCCGCGGGAAAACCCAAGCACGCGCATGGTCAAGCCCATCATCTCGAATCGTGATGGTGGGGACGGCCAGGCCATCAATCCTGCGTCTCGTCGAACGCGAACCGCTGGTGGCCGTGGTGCCGACCGGAGGCGGAGGCCGAGAAATCGTGTTGATCTGCCTCTAGCTGCCCGCAACCTTCGAATCGATGGTGTTGGTGATGCGGGCGGTGACGTCGAGGTCCTCCCCCGGAGCGGGGGTTCCCTGCTGCACGGAGGTCTGCAGCTCGGCGAAACGGGACCCCCATGCCGTTGACATCGATTGGGCTGGGGACACCATCTCTGAGTGAGACTGTGATTGTATCGCGTGCATCTGGCCCAATTGCATCTCGAGCGCACAGGCGCGGGAATTGTAGCTCTCGATGGCGTTGCGCATCGTGCCCATCTCGTGGCGCATCTCGGCGGACTGGGACTGAATGGCTTGTGTGAGCGCGGCCAGAGCATCAAGGGATGCCATGCTGGGATCGACGGGCGGTATCCGTATGGCTGCTGAGCGCGAGCGAGCGAGCGGCAAAATGCCCCCCTGTGCGACAAAATCGGAAGCCTTGGGCCACCCCTTGGCGCAGTCCAAACTCGAAGCGTCAAGGACACACGTTTCCAACTTGAGCCAAAATGGCTACGGAATGAGGGGGAGGAGGAGGAGGAGGAGGAGGAGGAGGAGGAGGAGGAGGAGGAGGGACAGGCGCCAGAGTCCATGGCCCGTCCCACACGTGCGAGCTTGTATCAGAAGCGAGGAAGTGCATATTCGCCAGCGTGGACCCCAATTAATGCATGGCTGCACGATGGAAATGGAGGCTGTGCGGCGTAAGCTGTGTGGCGAACGCTCTGTGGTGTGAGCTGATGTGGAAACGATGCCGCGCAAGCCATGTGGTGTACGCAGTGTCGTGTAGCCTAGGTTGGGTAAAGCGGAGGTAGAAGTTCTGGGGTGCAAGCTATGGCGATGTAGGCTACGCATTGAAAGTTATGCTGGCTAGGGCATGTGGTGCGAAGTACGCGGTGTGAGCTGTGCTGTGACAGCTACGCCGCGTGCGCCCACGAGGCGGCACGGACGGCGACGCTGCGCGGCCGCGGCACACGCGCACGCACGCACACGCACACGCCCCCATTGTGCATGGCGCCCACGACGCGGCACGGGCGGCAACGCGGCGCAGCCTCGGCATATCTCCAAGCGCGGGACGTCCACGAGGCGGCACGGGCCACAACGTGGCGGACAGCCAGAACACCAACCAAAGACCTCAACGAAGCGAAGCAAGAACCCACATTGTGCTGGGAAAGGTGGTGAACATGATCCTGGGGTGTGTGGCCCCCACGGGCACGAAGCCCCGACCTCGGGTCAGAGCGTTGTGCCGAAATTGGATCAGGCGCCCCGAGGCTAGGGGAAGGGCTGCCTGCGCAGACCCTGCGCGGGGGCCAGGCCCGCCTTTGACGAGATGGCGCTGAGCATGGCGTTCAGCTGCATCGGGTTCTCCTCCAGGTAGAAGGAGATGGCGCGGTAGTAGAGCTCCATGTTCGACACCTCCCCGTGCGAGGAGAGGTGGATGGGGAGGGGATGCGGAAGTGGAGGAGGAAGGGGAAGAGGGAGAGCAGAAGAGAACGAGAGGAGGAGAGGAGAGGAGACGAGGGGAGGGGCAGGATAAGAAGAGGCGGAGAGGAGAAGGAAGAGGAGAGAAAACGTGAGAGGAGTGGTTGGGGAAAGCATGCGGAGATGAGAAAAGAGGAGAGGAGACAGAGGAGGAGAGGCGAGAGGAGGAGGAGGATCAGGAGAGGAGCAGGATCGGAGAAGATGGAAGGGGGAGGATGAGAAGAGGATGATGTGAGGAGAGGGGGAGAGGAGGAGATGAAAGGAGATGCAAGTGCAGAGGGTGGAGCATCGCACCTGGTTCCTCCGTCTCCCCCTCTAGGCGTAGGGGGCGAACAGGCAGGAGAAGGAGGAGGGGGAGGGGGAGGATATCCTCTACCATGCTCGTCTGAAATCCGCCACCGTGCCTTCGGCACGCAGTGTAGAGCCCCAAGGCTCATGCAGCTCTGCGAAGTAAAAGGCGTGTGGTTCCTCAGGGTTCGTACAGGCACGGACCCCCCGTTTCCCAGGCGTTCCTGGCGGTCCCTTGCTGTCCCTGGCGGTCGTGCGCCCTGCCGGGGTGTCGCCTGAGCTGCTGGGACGCCAAGAGAGAAGGCTCCAAAGACGGCCGAAGAGGGTCCCGAGTCGTCGAACGATCGGTACAAGATGCCCAAGACGGCCGCCAGACTGCCGAAGATGCACCCAAGATGCCCCACGAGGCCTCCAAGAGGCCTCCCAGCAGGCACAAATCATTGATGTCCCTTAGGTTGTTGATCGATTTTGACGTTCTCGTTTTTTCGGCTTCCCGACCCACGGCCCAAGAGGCCCCCAAGATCGCCCCTTGGCGGCCCAACAGGCCTACAAGAGGGTCCCCAAACGACCCAAGATGACCCCAAAACGGTCCTGGAGGTGCCCAAGACGATCCCCGAGGCCCCCAGGACGGCTCCAAGAGGGGGCCCCGACGGGGGACCCAAATGGACACTTCGAGCTCTCGGCCCCAGGAGGCCCCCGGGAGGCCCCAAGAGGCACCCTAAGAGGCCGCCAACCAAGACCCCAAGAGGCGCCGAGAGGCCCCGGGGAAGACCTCAGAAGCGCCCAAGAAGCTCCCCCAAAAGAGGCCCCCCTGAAGCTACCAAGAAACCCCCAACACTGCCCCCAGGAGGTCCCCGAGAGCGCTCCCAAGAGACCCCAAGAAACATCTCTGAGGACCCTGACCCGCAACCCAAGCATGGTGGCGGGATAGGCCGAAGGCTAGTCGATACTCCTCCATGCCCCATTCCCTGTCCTCATCCTCTTGCCCCTCCTCCTCCCCCTCCTCCTCCTCCTCCCACCTCCTCATCTTCCTCCTCCTCGTCCTCCATGTTGTTCTCTTAGTATTACTCCTCCTGCTCCTCCTCCTCCTCCTGCTCCTCCTCCTCCTCCTTCCCCTCTTCTCCATTCAATGTCCTTATACATACGTAAGCTCTCCCTGCCGCACCCGAAACCAGTTTTTAGGGCGGGCCAGGCGTTTCGTCTGAGATGGCCTCACCATGTATAACAATGAAGCTTAACAGCTTCGCAGATGGGAAGCGGGTCGGTTTCAAAATGTGACTGTCGCCTCAGCGCCGCGCAAACTCGTTTTGAACATTTGCTTGAGCTTCACGGAGGGCAGGCCGTTTTCAAAATGTGGCTTTCCCCTTAGCGTCGCATGCGTTCGTCATATACATTGCCCCCCAAAAGAACTTTACGGATTGAGGGCGGACCGTTTTCAAACGTGGCTCTCGCATTAACGCCGCGTACATTCGTGCTCATGATTGCGAGCTGTTCACGGATCCACATGATCAACGTACCAGAAATGGTGCGTTGGAAAGATTATGGGTTATGATGGTGCAACAGTTACGTTGGTTCGCGGTGTTGCAGTCCCAGGAATGGCTTTCTGGCACGAGTGAGGATCGTCAAGACGCAACAATCAGGTTTGATCCGTGGCGTTTGTATTCCGAGAACCATGTGTTGGCATGTTTCACGGTCTTCAAGCAGTTGTCTTCCAACGAAACAACTCCCTCAGTGAAAATGAACCGTTGTCGGGGCCTACGAAGAGGGAGCTTGGAGGGAGGGTTTGTTCAAACATCGTTGATGGCTCTTGGATTTACACTGGTCCTTCTCCTTCTCCTTCTCCTTCTCCTCCTCCTCCTCTTCCTCCTCCTCTTCCTCCTCCTCCGCCCCCTCGCACAGCTCACCCTCACCCTCCTCCTCCTCCTCCTCCTCCTCCTCCTCCACCTCCTCCTCCTCCCTCCTCCCTCCTCTCTCCTCCTCCTCCTCCTCCTCCCCTCCTCCTCCTCCTCCTCCTCCTCCTCCTCCTCCCCCCCCTTCTCCCCCTTCCCCCTTCACTCGTAGTCCGCGGCCTCCCCGCCCTCCCCACGTCCGATGCCTCCCGTCGGACACCTGCTCCCGAACCGCCACCCTGCCGCCGCCCCGCCTTCTGCATGATCATCAGGAACTTGTCGTGGGTGTAGGCCGAGGAGCTGCGGGCGGGGAGGGGAAGAACGCAGCAGCACAAGGTGAAGAGACAACCGCACGAGCACTAAACTTCCGAATGTCCGCGCAGACTTCTTGCATCGGCTCTCGACCTTCTCCCATGGCGCGGCAGGGGCGGCGCCAACGGCGGCGCCAGAGGCACCGCCGGGGAGGCCGCCAGAGGGGGCCAAGCGCTGACCTCAAAACCCCGCGCGGCCCTCCGAAAAGCTCATGCTCGTGTATGCCCCCCCCCCCTCTCCGGAGCACGCGCTGGGAGGCGAGAGGGGCAGCCGTGCGAGGCCTCGCGCGCGGAGGGCCCGCGGAGGCCACGCGTGGAATGCTCCGGCCGGGGGCCAGCCTGTCTGTCCGCGCGAGGGGCGCCGCGACCGAGCCTGCCGAAGGCCGACTCGGCCAAGACGGCAGTCGCGCCGGCGCTGGAGCCACACCGAAGGGGAGCTGGGACACACGAATAAATAGACACAAATAGCCAGATTCCCCATAGACGAGAGGCCAGAACGCTCCCCCCCTATCGCCTGCGGCGCTGCCTGGGAGGGAGTGGGGGGGAGCAACAACAAAAAAAATGCATGACCATCCAGTTTTTATTATTGTTTTTTTTTGGTTGCCCCCCCCCCCCCCCAGGCGCTCCCCAGATACCCCCTGTCCCTCTGACGCCCCCCCGCCATCGCCCCCCCGCCACGCGCTACCTCTCCTCCTCCTTTGCTCACCTCCGCCCAAGCCCCTTGCCCTCTTCTCGGCGCCCCAAGCCAGGACTATTTTAATACATGGCCCTCAATCGCACTGAGGGGTACTGATTGTTTCAATCACATTCAGAGCCCTGGGCCTAATGTTGTTAAAATGATGACATTGAGGGGTACTGATTGTTTCACTCACGTTCAGGGCCCTGGGCCAAATGCGCTTGATTTCGTCTATGAGAGCGACTATATATATATACATATACATATATATATACATTTCTATATACATATTTATAAATGTGTATATATAAATATGTATATAAATACATATATATATATACATACAACGAAAACATTCACATTGGGGGCACTGATTGTATCAATCACTTTCAGCGCCTTTGGCCGTGTGTGATTACGATTGAGGGGCGCTCATTGCTCCAATCACATTGATTCAGGGCCATGGCCCCGAGGTCTGGGAGAGGGGGGGACCCCCCAAAAAAAAACGGCAGAACACCCAACCTGACAGTTTTTGTGTTGTGTCTCATCTTTCTCGTGCCCCCCACCCCCAAAAAAGGCCTCAGGGCCCTGGCCCCGAATGTGATTGAAACAGTCAGTGCGCTTCAATGTGATTGTTTTTTAATGTTCGGCCCTCAGTCACGTTGAGAGGTATTGATTGTTGCAATCAAACTCCGGGTCCTGGGCCTCATGTGAATAAAACAAGGACATCGAGAGCTACCGATGCCAAGCATTGCTAAGGGGCCTTGCGGGAAAGGTACCACAGCCTGAATCGAAGCCTCGCAGCCATTGGTGGAATGCTTCGGAGTCTGCTGGGCAAGCCTGTGGGAGAACCTCGTTGAATACCCTGAGCCTTTTTGGGGGACGCTCCAGAGCTGAGGAATATGCCGTCTTGGCATGGGCGATGCATTGTTGTTGATCATGCTTAGAATTGATCGACGTCGGGTGGTCGTGATTAGCGTGGCTTGGCATTGGTTGGTCGTGCTTGGCATAGCTCGGTCGTGCTTAATTTGGTGGCCGTGCTTGGAGTTGCTTGACATTGGCGGTCGGATGGCCATTGGCATTCCTGGGCATTGCGTGGCCGCGCCTTTCACTACTTGGTCACGCTCGGCATTGAGTGGTATCGCTTGGCACTGCTTAACGTTGGTTGAACATGCCTGGGGCTGATTGGCATTGGGTGGTCGTGCATGCCATTGTCTGGCACTCGCGCTTGGCATTGCATGGCGATGCTTGGCATTGGTAGGCCGTCAGTGGCACTGCTTGGAATTGAACTGAATGCCCCTGCTTGGCATTTTTCGGTCGTGCTCGACGTTGGTTGGCCGTGCTCGGCATTTGGTGTTCGTGCTTTGCATTGCTTGGCATTGCCTGTTCCTGCTCGGCACAGCTTGGCAATGCGTGGTCGTGCTTGGCGTTCCCTGGAACTGATTGGTCATGCTTGGAATTGCTTGGCAATGAGTGGTCGTCCTTGGCATTGCTTGGCATTGTTGGCAATGCTATGCATCGCCTGGCGTTGATTGCCATTTTTACTGGTTGTGTTTGGCGTTGGTCGGCGTTGCGTATGTCGGCTTGGCATCGCTTGGCGATGTGCGGTCCTGCTTGGCATTGCTTGGCATTGCTTGCTCATGATTGGTATCGGTTGGCTTCGTGCGGTCGTATTTGGCGTAGCCTGGCATTGGGTGCTCGCGCATGGCATTGCTTGGCCGTGCCGGGCATTGGCCGGTCGAGCTCGGCGCTGCTTAGCTTTGGTTGGTCGTGCTTGGCACTAAGTGCCCCACCCCCAAGGCCTCTCGGATAAGCCTTCAGGGCCTTTCGGGGCAAGCAATGGCAAGCAATGGCAAGCACGACCAACCAATATACAGCGATGCCAAGCACGGGCCACCAGTGGATCACCACTTGGGTGACTGTCCCACCAATGGAATTCCCTGGGGTGGCTGGCCCACAGACAGACATTCCTTGGAGTGGATGGGTTTACCAGCGTACCTCCCCTGGCCATAGGGGGGCGAAAGGACTCGCAGGAGAGGATGGTCCGAACTGGACCGCCCCTGGAGTGGAGGGCCCGCCAGTGGACTTTCTGGTGGGAAAATTCTCTGGTGTGGAAATTTCATAGTGCCCCCCTCCTTTGTGTGGCATGTCCACCAGTGCCATCGCAAAACACTCGGTCTCCTTCCTGCTGCGCTGCTGCACAGGCACGTTGGCGGGGTTTGCCGCAGCCAGCTTGATGTGTGTATATATATATACATATATATATATATATGTATGTATAGGTATAGATCTATATCGGTGTGTGTGTGTGTGTGCGTGTGCGTTCGGCTGTCCCCTTCGCAGCACCCTGAACACTACCCGATGGCCGAAGGGAAGCTCAGGCCCCGCCCAAGGGCCCATGGGGTCACGCCATCAGCTCTGAGGCGTGCAAGCACGGCCAAACAATGCTAAGCATGGCCAACAATGCCAAGCACTGCAAGCACGACTAGCACTTGCCTACCACTAGAAACCATGAGCCATCAACGCTAAGCAGTGTCAGGCATGACCAAGCAATGCCCAACGGTGCGAAGCACGACCAACTCACTGTCAAACAATGGCAAGTCTGAAGCCTACGTATGTAAGTATATACACACGGCCATGCATGTTCGCACATACACACATATGGACTATTCTCGGAGGTCCCCATTGCAGTACCCTGAACACGACCCGAAGGCCGAAGGGAAGGTAAGTGCTCTTTCAAAGGCCCATGGGGTCGCAGTCATCAGCCCTGGGGGTGTCTCAACGGCAAGCAACGCCAAACAATTTCAAGCAATGCCAAGCACCAATGCAGGCACAACCAATCGCTGCCAACCAACACACAGCATGAACCATCAGCGCCAAGCAGTGCCATGCACGACCAAGCAACGCCAAGCGTTGCCAAGCACGACTACTCGTCGCCAAACAATGTTATGCGCTATCAACCAATCCCACGCAATGGAACGCATGATCACTCAATGCCGAGCAAGACCGACCAACGTCAATCACGGCCGATGCCAAGCACGATCACCCAATGCCAAGCACGAGATATCAATGCCAGTCCCCGACGGGCACGCCCGATCAATGCCACGCACGGCAAAGCAATGCCAAGCACGACCAACCAATACCAAGCAATGCCAGGCACGGGCCGCCTGTGGATCACCACCTGGGTGGCTGGCCCACCAATGGAATTGTCTTGGGGGCCTGGTCCACGTACAAACACACACACACACACACACTCTCTCTCTCACACACACACAAACGCACGCACACACGCACACACACACACACACCAACACCACACCACCACCACCGCCACCACCACCAAAACCACCATCGCCACCACCACCACCACCACACACTCACGCACGCACACAAGCCCTGACTGGAGGGTCTACAATTGGGCGTCCTTGGAGTGGACGGCAATGGGCCAACCAGACAGTGGAGGGACCAACAGTGGGCAACCCTTGGGGTGGACGGACACCGTCAGTGGACCACTCCTGGGTGGCTGGCTTACCAATGGAGTTCCCCTGGGGTGACTGGCCCACCAGCGGACTTCCCCCCACCCAACAAGAAAAAACGTGCGCGGCGCTAAGGCGAGAATCAGATTTTGGAGGGAATGCGCGCGGCGCTACAGCAAGAGGCCCAAATTGAAAAAATGTGGCTCCCCAGACCGCCACCCCAGAATCCCCCGCCGTGTCGATCCAACCCTCCCACACCCAGCCCGGTCCCGCAGGTACGTCCCCTACATGGCGCCCCCCGCGAGCAACGGACAGTGGGCGCGGTTAGCTTCGGGCCGCCACGGCAGCCTGTTGCAATAACTGGGAGGGGGGGAGAGAGGAGGAGAGGGGTGCACCCCAGTCCACCCCAGCCCACCCCAGCCTGCCCCAGCCCGCTCAGACTGAGAGGGAGGGAAGGAGGGAGGGCGTGGAGGGAGAGGAGAGGAGAGGGCGCGGAGGGAGAGGGGGCACGGGAGGGGAGCTGTGACCAAAGACCTGCATAGAATCAGCAGAACGCCCCGAAGCATCCCCCTGGCTCGGTGGGCCAGCGTGGCCATCGAGATCGCGAGGCGGGGGGGTTCTCCAATGCTCTCGAGCTCCGCCGTGCGCGAGAACGCACACGTACGCGCACGCATGCCCGCACGAACGCACACGCGCATGCACGCGCGCGCGTGCGCGTACGCGACGGCGCACGCGAAGACGCGCGCGAAAACGCGCGCGAAAACGCGCGCGCGTGCGCCAAGAGAAGCATTCACGGCAACACGCGCACCAGACCCCCCGTACCCCACGACAGTATGCGGGACACCCGAACTCTGGAGCGGTATATCTATACATATGCGGTGCCGCGTGTAACTTTACCGCATCAAGCGGCAGCGTCGGAAAACCCCCAAGACATAGTAGCCCTTAAAGCGATGGCTGGGAAACGCGGTGCCCCCACGCCCCCGCTGTCAGAACCTCCCAGAGCGAGAATCGGCAGAAAACTCGCAAAGGCCAAAGCGCTACAGTGGCAGGCATCCACGGAGCCCGTCCGGCAACCATGCAGAGAGAGGACTTTTACGACGTTTCCACTCGTCACCGAATCGTTGCCTCAATCCACAGTGGTGCCGTAGAGGTGATCCTAGGAGCGACCGCCGCGACCCGACGACCTTTGCGGTCCCTACCGATGGCCACTCCATAGGGCCTGGCAGCGGCAACGGGTGGCGGTTCGAAACCCTGCTCCTACCGTCGAGACGAGATGGCACGCTCGCGATGCCGCTCAGTAAGGTGGCTCCTCGGCGGCAGGTCACTCGTACAGGTCATCAGAAGACGACGCACGGTGCCGCGTAGTGCCTACATTCGCCTCGGCCGCAGATGCGGCCGACCCGGCGTGCCCCATGCACCGCCTACGCCGCGGAGGAAGGGAGGAGAAGAAGCGGAAGGAGCGAGGAGCGCGAGGAGCGCGAGGAGCGGGGAGGAGGAACAAAAAAAAGGGGAAACGAGGAGGAGCGAGCAGAGAGGGCAGGAGGAGCGAAGAGTAGGGCAGGAGGGGGCGGATACCCCGGCTGCCCTTCGCTCGCGCCCTCGCCAGCCGCGGACGCGGTGGCGGCGGCGGCACGCCTGTGGGCCATCATGGTGCTTGCCGCCTGGTCGTACTCGTCGTAGTGCGAGTACAGGAACACGGCCGCCTCTCGGCGCCACTCCGCCGCCGCCACCAGCTCGTCGTCCCCCGCCTTCCTCCTTTTCCTCCTTCTCCTCCTTGGGTAGGATAGGATGGGACCTAGACCTTGATCGAGACAGCCTGGTGGACCACCGTGGAGTGGTTTGGTCCTTGGCTCGTTTCTCGCCTGAGTTGTTCGCCATGCTTTGTCGGCGGGCGTGCCGGGATGCGATTGTGGCCGAGGAGCAGAGTCGCCAGTCGTCGATCGTGCGTGAATGGTGTGGCCCGATCTGCTCCCGCCCTGCCCAGGACCTTCTGGCTACCAAGGCGTCTGAGGGCTGGACGACTCATTACCAGCGCATGCTCAGAGGGCTGCTGGCGAACAGGTATTGGTGCCAGCAGCGTTTCGCCGAGAAGTGCGAAGATATCCGCCCTGAATGCCTCCGATGTGGGGAGCCTGGGTCCTCGTTTCATCGCCGGTTTGCTTGCCCCGCTCACTCGGCCTGGAGGAGAGAAGAGCTCTCGTGCGAAGTCCGGGAGGCGGCACGGTTCGTGTCTTGTCTTTCGGGTCGGGCCCAGGAGTTGTTCTCCAGGGCGGTCTTCCCTGCCCCCGTCGGCCTGGTTCGGGCGCACTTCATGTTACCCAACTTCATTTTAGACGCATGTTCCCCGCAATGCCCCCGACCCCACTTCATGTTACACGCATCGCTGTAATTGGCCAGCCGATAGACTGATGATCGGTGCGGGCAGGCATGTTTTCACCAACGGCTCGGCCTTCGAGGGCCATCTGCCGTCCCTCGGGGTGGCGGGATGGGCGGTCGTGGTTACGGACGGCGAGGGGGTCGTCCAGTCGTACATCTGGGGGGTAGTGCCATTTTTGGAGGCACCCCTCCAGGCTGCGAGAGACGGCGAGGACTTCGCCGTCCTCCAGCTGGTGTTCAATGCTGTGCTGTGCCCAGGCTCCAGCCTGCACATTGATTGTGCGGGCACAATGGATTGCGCTAGGGATCCGAGGTCGGCCGCAGGGCCGGACAGCATGAAAGGGGAGCGCGCAGAAGTTGGCGGCGAAGCGAGGGATGAAGGCGAGGCGCTGCCCTCCCCCGCCCCCCCGCGGCCGCCTGGGGAAGAGGCCTGGGCCCTCCTCAGGCCCTGGAAGGCCCGTGGCCACTCGTGCATCGAGGCTCCCGTGTCCTCCCCAGGCGGAGCTCCTATGGGTACGTTGGTGTCTTGCACCACCTGTGGATCTGTGGGGCATCCTGGGAGTTCCTGGAGACGGAGCTCTCTCGTGTCGGATTGCTCGGGGTCCCGTTCCGCTGGCCGGGAGAGGCAATTGGCTTGGACTTTGCTTGGTCAGCATCCGTCCCGCAAGAACGGTCGCGTCGGAGCGGCGACTTCGCTCTCCGACGCCTCGCGCACCTTCCTGGCATCGAAGCTAGGCCTCGATGATGTGCCTGCTCTTGGACCCGGCCCAGCTGTTGAGCGGGTCGGTGTCGACCTCGTCCGAGGCCTTGCGCTATTTGGCTTCTCCTCTCGCGCCCAAGCTGAGGTGTTAGGGCAGCGAGTCCTTGACAGGAGAGAGCGCGAGGCGGCGGTTTTTTCGGACGAAGGCTAACTTGTGTTGCTGTTGGTGTGATGCATGTTTAATGCGATGACTTCGTGTGTCGGCGTGGTGCTCCTCCTTCTCCTTCTCGTCCTTCTGAAAAGTATGGTAAGAACCCCTTTCTGCTCCCCGGAAGAGTACAATGTTCGAGCCAAACGCCGACGGGAAGCGGAGACGGAACTGTCGCGAAACCTCTCTTGCCAGCGGCGCTAACTCTGACTGCCTACCAGACCACCCCAACCCAACCCGAAGACTCGAATTTCGGGTTGGGGGGGGTAAGGGTTCCACATGTGTTTTTTCGATGTTTCCCGAACCCCCCCCCACTGGAAATCGAGGGAAAATCTCAGCCTTCGGGTTGGGTTGGGGTGGTTTGGTGGGTGGTGAAACTCTGAACTGCTTCCTGTGTTGCATTGCCATGCTCCTCACGCAGTCGCACTGCCATGTTCTTACACCCCCACCCCCCACCCCCCTCCTTCAAATCCGGCCGTATGAGGCGAAGGATGCAGAGCCCATTCACAGCGAACTGGATATAAGCTAACTAGATGATAAAGGCGCATGTAGCGGTAAGACAGCATATACTCATGAATGCTAGGAACAAAAGGCTATACCACGCACCGTGGCGACTCTAAATTTGCAACGTAAGTGTGGGCATGACTGGCACAGGCAAACATAGACGATGCCTTGAGGGCACACGTGCAAGAGGTTCCCGACACGCGATACATGATTTGCCACTGCCGCAAAACACCTTGATTTGATGGGTAACATAACGTGAAATGTGCGTAGACGAGCACCTGGACCTCAACTGATCCTGAGCTCAAGTCTCCGCCAAAGCGGCACGCAATGATAACCCGAAGAGATGGCTTAAACTAACACTCCGTAGCGGGCTCCAGCTCGTGTTGTCCTCTGACAATGCGTTGGTTGGTACCTCGCATGAGCATCAGGGGGGAAGACGAAAAGGAGGGAGGGTGGCGGGGAGGAACGGGAGTGTGGAGAGGAAGGGGAGGAGGAGGACTGAGAGGAGGGGGAGTGGGACATGAGAATGAGGAATCAGGAGTCAGGAGAGGCGCAGGAGGACGAGGAGCCGAAGAAAGAGAAGGAAAAAAAGGGATGAACGGGAGGGAGCACGGCGATGTCCTCGCCGTGGACAGAGGGGGGGAGAACGCACCGACGGGGCTGGCCCGAGCCTCCCACAGGTAGTGCCGCTCGCATGCGTTCGTGAGCTTCGGAATGTTCAGCTTCGCCGTGTTCATCTTGATAAAATCCTGGGGACCCAGATCCCTAGTCCGTCTCGCCACCATCCGTCATCCCTCAAGCACTCCCCCTCCTCATCCTCGTCGTGTTGCTCCTCCCCCTCCGGCTTGACTTGCAGTCTAGAACGAGGAGAGCGGAGGCAAGCAAGAGCAAAGGTTCGAAGTGTTGCGAAGGACGCGTCAACACAAGATGGCGCTTGTAACAAGACCCACCTTCCTCCATCCCGCTTTCTCCACCTCCCGTCTACTCTTCCCTCCTCATCAGCCTTCCGTCCCTCCCTCCTCGACCGCCTCCTCCTCCTCGTCTTCCTCCTCCCCCCCTATCCTCATCAATCCTTATCATCTTCTTCACATCATAA